GAAACTATAACGGAGAAAACTCAGTTTGAGGTGGAGTTTCCTACTATGGATGTTAATAGTAGTGAGAGAACGGTTACAGAGATCTCTGACTATCATTTGACTCATGATAAGGTAAGGAGAGTTATTGTAGCATCTCAAAGGGACAGTTATGCTAGCCTTGGATATTATGTTTTTAATGTGGTTGGAGGACTGCAAAATAAAAGGAAAAAAACCTTCAGGGAGGCATTTGAAAGCAGGTGGAGTCAAGGGTGGTTGAAAAATCATACTTGTAGGCTTATTAAATTACCTAGGCAGAAAAGGGTAATTCGGAACAAGTGGATGCAATTTACGAGATCAAGATTCAAGGATTTCTTGAATTTAATCAAAGTTATTGATTAAAGTTTCAACTTGGTAGAGAACAACAATGTTGTTGATTGTTAAATTGGTATCAATACGGTTTAAAGTCAAAGTGGAGATTGTTGTAAATGTGCCTTAAAAACCTTTGTTGATGAAGAGAAAGAAAACATATTTTGGAGATTGCATTTAACTCGAAAATCGGACGAAAAGTCGAGAAAAAATATTTTTGGTCGGTGAATAGTGTTGTCCCTACAATGAATAGTTTTCGAGTTTTCGGGATTTTTTTCGATTCGATCCATGAGATTTTGGCCTTTGTTTGTTAGGTATTTGCTATTATAAATATGTATCTCTTATATGCTTGGCGTGTGACAATCTTAGAGTTTTCACCAAGGGAGACCAAGGGTTTAAAGGTATATCATAGGGTTTCAGATATGCGCAAAGAAAACTTTGAATTACACATTGAGTTTGAGTGATTCATATCTTGAGAGTTGGAGAGGTAGGGAAACACTTGGGTAGAAAATTGGGTTGTTCTTGGGTGCCTTCAGGGTTGTTCTTGGGAACCTGAAGGCGAAAACTATTTTCTTGTAACTCATCTATAATCTCTTGTAACAACTTTCTAAGTATAGTGAATTGGAGAGCTATACTCACAAATAAACAAACCTTTGGTTTTTTCTTGCCTTATATTATTATTGGTGAAGACTATTTATTTTAGTTGTTATTGTTCTTTTCCTCACAAATTAATATTAAATTTTGTCGTAATTCACAATAAGATTTTTAATATATATATATATATATATATATATATATATATATATATATATATATATATATATATATATATATATATATATATATATATATATATATATATATATATATATATATATATATATATATATATATATATATATATATATATATATATATATATATATATATATTGACAAGTGTTATATTTAGTGTTTTATTAAGCTTATTACTACAATGGACAAAGTGAAGTGTAAATTTGAAAATCATGAAAGGATATTTTCAAAAAAATTGGTGGCATTTTGTAAATAGATATTTAGTCGATGTTTTTTTTCCCTTCAACTTCATGAGATCGATCTAGATTGCATTTGAGAACTAATTATAGAAAATAATTTAAAATTCATATAAAGGTACAACGTGTCAATGACTAATTCATAAGATAGTTGTAAATTAGTTATTGTTGCAAGTAATTAAACAGTGCAAATTGAATATAAAAGTCAAATATTGAAAATAATATCAAATTGAATTCTTCTCACATTGTCTTAATTTCACTAAAAGCATTTTTAATGCATATTTTTAATAGTTAAATTTTTTATACTTAACGATAATTATAAAGAATTTGTATTAGAATGACTATGACATGACATTTAATTCACTAGCTTTTAGTTTTCAGCAATTATATAGCTAACATATGTTATATAATTTGGACCCACACAAAATTTGTAATGAATAAATTAATGGTAACTTCAATAAAAAAAATAATTACAATTAAAAAGTATAAAATATAGGGTCAAGTTTTAGTTTTTTATAAGCACCTATCATTAAAGTAAAAACAACTCAAATCAACTATAAATTTTTTAAATTCTACAAATCACTTTGGATCCACAAAAAATATCTTAGTTTATCCACTTAAGATACTCCCACCGAAGATTCTCCAGTGAAAGAAGAAATAAATATGTAAAATAGGAACTAATATAGTTTAGATACTATATTTGTTTTGAATTTTTGAATGGGTTAAGAGCAACAACAATAAAAGTCAAAAGAAAAGAAAGAATGCTAAAATGCAATTTTGGTACTCTATTTTAATATAAAAAAAACAATTTTTTAGTTCCTATATTTCTATTGTTTGAATTAATATTGGTTGTCTTCGAATTTATATAATTGACTTTTCAAAATGTGACATAAACTTGACATGGCATACTATATGCGACATCACAAAATAGTTGTCATGATATATTTTAAAATTAAGAAATAATTTTATATTATTTTAAAAAGTTAATAATTTTATATAATTTTTTTTATAAGCAAAATTAATTAGATGAGAGTACTAGGGATACTCCAACCCGATTACAAAATCTAACAAAAAGAAGAAATTACAAGACATCTCAAGGATGAGATACCCACTCATAATAGCTACATCTAACATTATTCTTAGATTTATCCCCCAAGCCAACCACCACCAAGACAAATTAACAATCCTCTAGAAAATAATATCCGAATTGAAAAACTCACCGTTAAAAATGATATGATTCCTAGAATGCCATAAAGACCAACAAGTGAAAACCCACAGAAAGCAAGTGAATTTAATAGAGGAGACGGTCTTCACCTGAACAAATCAATCCATCAAGAAGATATGGTTAGAATCCTCCATTACTTGAAAGCAAAAAACACAAACACAATTGTGCAGGTTACTAATAATGTTGCGTTTTAATAAGTTAGATCTAGCCGGTAGTCTAACAATCAAGAAACGCCAACAAAAAACTTTCACATTCAGAGGAATTACCGTTTTCCATAACAATTATAAAGCAAAAATTGTGTTCTGGCTCCATAATATACCAGATTCAAAATAAAGGTACCTTCGGTAGCAAGAGTCGACGGTAAAAAGCTTGTGAATACTCCAAGGCTACAAAATCACGTCTTCCACTCCCCTCCTCGATTGGACCTGTTCCAGTAAATTTTCAAATCTTCAAACTCCTGAGCTTCCCCAAAAGACCGGTCATGAGTAATCTTAAAAAGATTCCAAACCCATTTTGTTCCCACCCAAGAGACAAAAGTGGTGCCCTCCCAAGCCACGTATGTTTCCAGAAAGAAATCGCATCACCCCCACCAAGCCTGAACATTAAACCATTCAAAAAAACTACCCGAAAGATTTTCGTCCCGCAAACTAAGAATCTCGCGCCACCAAAGAGAGTGCAACTTGTTCCCAACCGAAGCCTCCCTATTCAACAAAATAGAATTGAAATCTCCATATTTGTGCCTGATAATTCCGTCCTATATGACAACCTTTTCTGTAAAAAAACGCCAAAGTCATTTCACTACCAAAGCCTTGTTGAACAAACGAATATCTCGAATCCCAAGACCCCCTTTCTCTTTAGCACATCACACCGAACTCCAACTCACTCAAGCCAAGGATGATTTATCCGCCGTTCCAGCCTATAAGAAATTTCTCTGAATAGAAACAATCTCATTGAGGACTGCAATCGGCGTCAAAAAGAAAGAAAACCAATGAATGGGAAGATTTGCCAATACAGAGTTTATGAGAGTTACCTTTCCCCTGATCGACAACAACCTCCCTTTCTAAGAAGAAAGTTTAGACTTAAAAACATTCACCATAGGTTTCCAAATGAAACAAGCTCTAAGATTACACCCCCACTGTAATTCCTAAGAACTTGAAAGGAGCAGAACTGACCTTGCAGGCTAAAAACTAAGAAAATGCCGACAGGAAATCTAATTTAACTCTGATGCCAATTAAACTTCTTTTCGAAGCGTTAATTTTGAGCCCCGAAACTAATTCAAAACCATGCAAAATAGTTTTCAGCTCCCAAAGGTTCGCCCAAGTAGTGTCACACATTAACATCGTGTCATTCGCGAATTGAAGAATATTATAACAGGAATTGTTGTTAAAAGAGATTTCAATCAGCTTTCCCAAAATACAGCTTCTTCGAACCAGCAGCGCAAGGCCTTCAACGACCAAGAAAAAAAGAAACAAGGATAACAGATCCCCTTGACGCAAACCCCTAGTAGCTCTGAAATTTGTCGTTGTGCCACCATTCACAAGAATAGACAGGTGGCAGCAAAGAACACTACCCTTCAACTAACTAATCCACTTAGAGCCAAAACCTGTATCTTGAAGCAAAGAAATTAGATACTCTCAATCGACGCAATCATAAGCTTGTTCGAAATCCGATTTAAGCAGTAAGCAACACTTGTTCTGACGCTTGACATAATCCAGAATCTCATTAAAAACAGCAACGATGTCAAAAATGTTTCTTTCTGGAATAAACGTAGTCATTGACTACCTTAGAATTAGTCATTGTGTTAATAACTAATTTACAACTATCTTAGAATGTTTATATAATTAAATGTGTCATGTGTTAATAACTAATTTACAACTATCTTAGAATTAGTCATTGACTATCTTTAATTATTTCATAAATATTATTCTATTTATTAATTATTAATTATATTAATAATATAAAATGAATTTTTGTTTAAAAAATATGAGTGCCAACTATTTTATTACATTGCACCCCATATAGATAGAATGTCTTGTGAAGTTAAAAAATTACATGAAAACTATGGAAGATAACAAGTAATCTCTAAGAAGTTATATCCAAACTTTCAAAATCAAAATTTAAAACTGTCATATTCACTTGTTCCTCGAAATAGGAAACAAAATTTGTCATTCATTTGTAATTTTTTCTTTCCACTTTTCGATGATTTCCCAACATCTTCGTTCTGGAAAGTATTGATATTTTTCACAATCTTCATATTTAATCTATAATTATTTCCTAATAAGATCTTTTCACAATGGCAGATAAATAGTTACTGGTTTTGGTTTTTGGTTACAACGGTTATATACAGCAAATTTTGCAACAAAAAAAGTAAATCCTTTGAAGATTTTCATACTTTGTAATATGGAAACAGGATTTTCAAAATCTCTTGGAAGGAAGAGGGTAGTTGTTTCAGAAAATATGGAATCTTTTTCATCTTTTACTCCTTTGAAGAGAGTATATAGTGGGAGATTCAATTTCAATTCAGATATATCTCTCCTTGAATCACTTCCTCAAGATATTCTGGTAATTATTTCAATCATTTTATTATTATTATTTTTTGAATATTTTGTTATTTTTTTAATTACATATTGGATATTATAAATTGCAGTTACATGTTTTGTGTGGTGTTGATCATGATGATTTGAAGCAGCTTTTCCATGTATCTAGAATAACAAGAGAAGCGGTATAACTTTAAGTTTTAATGATTTTTTGATTGGTAATTAATTAATTATTCTCTTGATTTGAAATAATTGTTGGATTTTTTCTATTGCAGACACTAATTGTGAAAGAATCGCATTTTCAGTTTACCACGCCGAAAAAGAGAAGTTACAATTCAAGTGATAAGTTTTTAGAAATTGAAGCTCCAAAAACTCCATTAAAGAAATCAAAAGAATCAAAGTTCAGTTCGGAAGAACTAAGTGATATCTCTACGGCGTTGTTCTGTGTTACGGATTGCACCATTGATGAAGATTATGAATTGAATTGTAAGATAGATTATAAAGGATAGGGATTAATTTGTTATCTATGGATTGGATGATATTTTTGAAAGATTCATTCAAAAAATTCCATTTAAAAAACTATGAGAGCCTGCAATAAAATATAGCAAATGAGGAGGAAATATTTGTGTGTTTTTATTAATGAATGGAGAATTTACATACGATATTAAAGAATACTCCCTAAACCGTTGAGTGGGAAAATAACTACTATAGGAATAGAAAATAAAAGAAAATGATATTGAATTTTTTTGAGAGAAAATTGTATTTTGAGAAAAGTTAGAATGGCCCAACTATATCAAAAAATGCAATTAATGTCAAGTCATATACTTAACATAGATGAAAATATCTAAAGGTTAAGCGCGCTCTCGCACGCTCTCTCTCTCTATATATTACCGATGTTAATGTTGGTATTTTTATGGAGAATAAGTTTTCTATGCTTTTGATTTATACAAAGAGTTAGACTTTTCCTCTTCCTTCATTTTGAAAATGTTTTATTTATAACCCAAAACAAAGCTTGTGAAAAAAACTCAATTTCTATCATTTTTTAAATTTTTTTTGCAATTTTTTTTGCATTTAATTCAAGCTTAGGACATCATCAACTACTATTCCACTCCATTCAATCGAAAATCGTTGACTTCTCATAATGAGTAAGTTTTTCATTTTTTTTGTGTGGTGCATAATAGGTTGTTTAGTGAGACATGCTTGTAGATTTTTTTTGAAGTTAGAGTATTTGGGCAAACTCTCCTTCTGCATTTTTTTAGTTTCAGTGTTATGGAAGTTAAAATTTGGATGATGTTTGTTCTGCATTTTTTGTTTGATTTTTTATGTTTTGTCCTTTGAGTTTGAATTATTTGACTATGATATGATTTTAATAGTTTAATTAAAGGTTAAATGTCTAACAACCAAGAGAGATTGAGACATGATAGAGTGGCTCAACATGTATTCATTCAGAGGAAAAAGACTAAAGCCTCTCGCCATACATGATGTCATTTCTTTTGATGGAAGAGCATCGTCTTTCAGGGTTTACGTGTCTCCGACATTGTCCTTCCAAAGACATAATTCCAATGTTATTGTCCTAGATGCCCACAAAAGTCCAACTTGCTATTGTCGTTTCTGATGTTGATCCAGGAGACCCCTCATACAACTCCCTACTTTGCCTATATGTAAACCACAGTGCTTGGCACATGTGGGATGGGGAGGTAGAATAATTATGTATTTATTATTTTAATCATATGTGTTATAAGATTTGAACCTCCTGATGTTGAAGTACTTTTGTACAACACCGTGAACTGTTAAGATGTATCAACATGATAGAAAGATTGCAAAGTTGTCACAGCCTAACAAATCACGATTTCAGGATGTCATGCAGCTACCTGGGCTATAAGATTTATCTAGTATTGGTTGTACTTTTATTAATCATGGTTTGTTGTCTGCTTTCATCAGTATATGACACTCAGAGACTTCTTCATTACATCTTTTTATCGGCGTGGCATCAATGTTACCATATTCCAATCAGAGGTAGATTATAAAACTTCTCCAAACTCACTAGACCTAATGCACTGGATATGATGGTGCAATATTTGGGAGTTGACCTTGGGGGTGCCTAACAGGATATGAATGACATAAGAGGATGTCATGCCGAGTTTAGATTTCTGGAGAGGATGTACAGATGCCACCTGAACGTGGCAATCAAGGCTATTAGAAGAAACTAAAGAAGAATAGTGATTATGGCATAATTATTCCTATCAGAATTCATTTTAATATGAATGGAGTCTTGATTAACCAAAAACATGATATTGTATTTGCGGAAGCTGGAATTGGTGTTTCTCGTAGTGTATTAAAGTCCAGCTACAACCTGTATGTCACAAAATATGTATCATATATTGCTCTCTACAATAATCCACATATTGATAAGTATGACTAGTTACTAGTAGAAATGTGATTGATGCCCCACTCATGTTTGGGCCTATGAGAAATCATCATCTCATTCAAAAATATTTTGGTGAGGAGACCCAAGAAACCAATATGGGAAATCCAGATAAAGATGTTCTAGACATCTTGTCCTACATGTTGACAGAGTCTCAAATTCATAAGGAGGATGCTGATTTTATCACTAAGAATAATTTTGTAAGTGATGATGTTCATAAAAATATTGAAGTTGATATTCTTGTAACTCATTTGGGAAAATAAAATCTACATCAAAAGGAAAGAAGGACCATGCAATATAAGATGTGGAGAAAGATCTTAAGACATTGTGTGAAGATGTGGTAAGTAATGATGAAAGCATATTTTTAGGGTATGTTGTTAATAAATTGTTTACTATGGTATGGGCACACAATATATAAATGATGTTCTAACTGAAATGACTCCCCATGAAGATGAGTATTTTGATCTCATTAGTCTTGAAATTGAGAAATTTATTGTAGACAAATCAGGAAACACTATGTTATCTGCTGAAGAAGATGAAAGTTTATATAATACTTAAAAAATTTCCTATCTTGGAGCCATCAAATTGTTACAAAGGTTGTCATGTATTCTGAAGTTTAAACTTTATCATATGGGTGTAAAAATTTGCATCTCCCAATAGGTACTTTAATGTGGAAGTCAATCAGAATGTTAGTAATTATACTACTGACAAGGGTGGTATCATTAAGAAGGGTGAGTATGTGGAAGTTGAAGAATTTCCTTTTTCCAACATAATGAAGGAAGTAATGGAAACTTTAACAAAGTCTCATGTCAAGGCTACTCAAGAAAAGAATCTTGTAGTGAATAATGCGAGTGACAACATTCATAATGTTGTTAATGATTATGTCAGTACTAATGAGGGTTATATCCTTATGATCAATGAAGTTCATAATGAGTTTAAACCAGTCAACGAAGGTGTTATTAAAGATGATAGTCTTTATAAAAGGTCTGATAAGAAGTCAAAGAAAATAGTTGTTGACAAAAATATTCTCACAAATGTTTCTATTACTCCCTTAGACAATGTGTATTTCCATTATGAGGGAAGTGTGCTGAAGTGGAAGTATCTGTATCTAAAGAGGACAAACTTTGAAAGGAAGCTGTTAAAAGAAGCTTTGACATTTGAAGAGGTTATTTAGCTGTTAGAGGATGTCAATGTGAAATACAATGACACTCTTATGAGAGTTCACATGTTGGTTGATTACAAGATGGTTGAGCATTTTGTTCAACAAATGTATTCTGAATTTGAGTTGTGCATGGTAGGAGATGTTACCTACTTTCTTGATTTTTAAGTGAGGCAATTGAGGGACTACGCATTTGATTCCTAAAGTAATTATAATGGAAGTAGTTGCACTTAACTATTGTGGAATAACCAAATGCTCAAAGATGTCACCAATGGTTGTAATGGATATGTCAACAAGGATGTGTCATACAACATGTATGACATATTGGTGACTGAGTTTCCAACACAGAGCAAGGATGAACAAGCTTCCATTTTGAATACTGAAGTGAATAGAAAACTTCAAGCAAGTAAATTTGAGATAGATGCTTAAGAAAATGTCAAAGACGTTATGACCATAATAAGGCGAAAGGTTATATGGAAGAGAATTCATGTGTATGTCTACTCTACTTACACGGATAATGTTTCATTTCATTCTAAAACAAGTGTTCAAAAGTGGAAGTATGTTGTCCAAAGAAGGATTGCAGCTAAAAGAGAGCTAGGTAAAGAAGCTATTTATTGCAAATAAATCATGAAACCTGATGGGCTAATGTAGACTGTTACTGATCTTGGTCCTTGTAATGAAAATTTGGTGAATGAGTTTATTGTGAACATTAATCTTGTGTTTAATGTTGAAGGAAACAAGAAGTATAAAATGATGTATGATAAAGTAAAGTGTATAAAGCTTTCACCTTTAATTATTAGTTAATTGGGAATAATCAAGGTTCCCTCTATTGACAAGATTATGACCAAGGAAAAGGAAGCTGAGGAAGAAGAAGAAATTGCAAATGAGTATGCAAAAGAACCTTTTGTTAAACCAATGAAGTATAATGATTTATGGAGCCTCTTAGTGATGCTCAATTGTTGAAGACAATGTTGAATGCTAGAGCTTGTTATCCTAGGTTGATGAAGGATTTTGAGGTTAAGAGTAATAGTTTTCTTCATGGGTTGCTTAGTTTCATTTATATGTTATTGTTGGGTAAGTTGTCTCAGATATTATGTCCAACATTTGTGTAGCAGTTGATGAATCTGATCTAGTTTTCGATAAAGAAATGTTGGGGGTTTTTTCCTGCTGTGATTAGTATTGACTGGTATGATTGGTACTAATTGATGTGATCTAGTTTCTATGTGCACACACGCTGAAGAATTTTTTTTAACATCTGGAGCTCAACCTTGTGCGCTAATATCTTTTTGTGTTAGTATTATCTGTTGTTGATTCTGACCTTACTATTATTTGTGTTATCATGCATGTCTGACATTGTAATTACTTGACTGACTATTTGGAGCATTCCTGTCAAGCTTTTGTTCTAATTCGTGAAGCTTTTGTTGTTCATTCCTTACCTTTTCCAAATTGTGGCAAAAGGGAGGTGAAATGATCATGTGGGACAAGATGTTCCAACAACATGTTATGTTATGTGGTGATCTTATTTGTATGTGTTAATCTGATGTCTTATTATGTAGTAACCATTACTTATGTGCTACTGATGTTTGCTACTACTACTCTGATATATGTTAATGTTAGTGTTATTTCTTCTATTTAATGTGGTGTACTACTTATGCTACTTCTTGAAGATCACGTCCTGTAAGTCACATCTTGTAAGTTGTTTTAGCCAAAATTTGCCAAAGGGGGAGATTACTGTTTTATGTGATTAGACGCATTAGGTAAAGTAACATATGTATAAGATGTATTTTGATGTAAAGGAAACATGTGGAACACAGTATTCCAGCATGTGTGATGTGCAACATCTGACCCTTGACAACAGACCCAGGTTGTTGCAGTTTGGAGCAAACTTTCTGATTAGATTTCAACCAGATTTGTTGCTATATTTT